ATCGGAAGAAAAAAAAAGATACTACGAATTCATGTGGAGTTAGTATCGATATACATTACGTTTTTATTATTATGTATATATAATGTCGCATAAATACGCTATCTGCTTCAACAGAAACGTGTCGCGTAAAGGTTAGGTCGAGCATTCGCTCTCGCTCGTTAGCGTTAGCGCTGCTTTCCAGTAACATTGCTGGCAACATAAATCTACTCTGGTAACATCTCAAAATTCCTCGTAAAATTTTCTAGTGTTATATGCGGTTGCGGTAACATTTATTTCCCGGCAAAATTTTCTGTCGTTTGAAGACATAGTTTTTTTTTTTTTGTACCACAGCAAGGTTGGCAGCGTCGCTGTTTGACAGCCGTGATGCAACGATTGGCATTTACTGCTTTTGTAACTCATGTCGCATTAATTTTTTACATCAACCCAGAGACCAGAGATAATGCGGTGTTGTTAAAATTTGGTAGTGCACGTTCTGAGATCTCGATCGATAAACCATTATATTTTTTTTGTCATGACAAAAAAATACATCGATAACAAGCTAAGGGAATGTCATGTAATACCTGCCGAACGAATTTTTCATTCTTCACAAAAGACGTAAATATTATCGCTCTGTTCGAGATTTAATAAGTAAATTTGCTGCTCTCGAACAATCCGTTTGCTTATTTATCGCTTTTGCTATTTAGATTGGTTGCCCAAGCTGTGGCTTTTCTTCCTGCAGTAAGTGTCTCAAGTACAAATGCGATATCCCCAATATAGGGACAAAGAAAGTTTGCGGACGTTGCTACAATAAATTGAACAGAATGAAGAAATCAAGTTCCGAAGACACTATACGCGAAGTTTTAATGTCTAATGCAAATTTAGAATCACTTGCACCAATTGACATTACTATGAAGTGAGTAAAATTAACTTTTTTGCTTGCGAGTAGTTTAATTGCTATACAAAACATTTTAAGGAACGATACCATAATATTGGATATTTGATTTAGATTGGATTCATTAGAAAATCCTGTAAAACCTCCAATAGTGATATATAAGCAGGCAAATCGCTGGGATACACTTAAAAAAGGATTAGAACCAGCTGACCAACAAATTGTAGACAGATTACGAAAATTGAAAGATAAAGATTGTAACATTTCAGTGCCTACTATTGATGAGATAAAACAAAGACTAGCACTGTTGAAGGATCAAGATCCACAGGCTAGTGGAAGTAATGTCATAAATGTATGTATATATAAACAATGTGTTATAAAGTTATTTGGATTCTTATCGATTATTTTTGTACAGATAAATCAAGTGGATACTAGGACAGATCAAGAGAAGGCGGATGATTTAATTCAGGAGTATCTCGCAGAAATAGAATTGCCTACGACCACTGATCTTTGTAAAGAAATTCAGATGAGAATGGATTTCTTGCCGAATGATGAGTTAGTTACCAAAGTTTCAGCAATGGAAATAGAGGTAGATATTTTTAAATGACTAATAAATGTGCACTTTTATCTCTTCAAGATTACATTTTACAGTCAACATAAACTTATTTTATCTGGAAATATATTCTTGTATTCTTCAATAAACTATAATAATGAACATAATAAACTATAATAATGAACATAATAAACTAGTAATGAATTATATCTATAAATTTGAATTCAGTAAAAAGCTTTTTTTGTTCTTATGTAAAATTTACAAAATGTTATTATATATATAGACTCCTCCAAATATGGAAGATGAAGATGAAAATGAGGATCAGGATGAAGATGAAGATAAAGATGAAGACGAGTATGAATCTAGTAATGAATGTTTAATATGTTCGCGAACCGCAGATGAACTAGATTTGTACAGATGTACAGGTTGTAAAGGCGATCTTTATTGTTCTACATGCTTTGAAAGTTTCCATGATGATTTTGAAATGGAGAAGCATAAGGCAATTCGTTTTGTCAAACAAGATGAAAAAGATAAATTGTCTTCTGCAAAAATGAGCCTTATACGAAAATTATTAACGTCAGATTCTCAGAAGGATAATCATTGATAACAGTATTATATAAAAACATAAAAAAGCATTTTGTGTGGACATTTTTATGCAAATTACATTATAGGCTGAGCTACAATCCAACATTTTGCAGACATAAAACTATAATCTGTAAATATTTGTAACAAACGTACAAAACAAATAATTTAAAAATTTTTATATTTGTTTAATGTAAATGATTCTTTCAAAACTAAGTATAGAATTTCTGAAAATACGCTTTGTCGCTTTTGGCTGTGTCGTTTTATAGTAACGGTATTTCTTTTACTAATTTATATATTAGTTGTACTGTTAACCTTCTATTTTAACATTATACAGATAGATATAAAAAAAATACACGCGCATATATGAATAGAGATAGGCATAAGTGATATAGTGTAAACGTTCGTCTTGGAAACGTTAATCTTTACAATTCTGTGAAATAAAGTTATTTTGGCTAGTTATTTTATAAATTTTGAAATCTTCCAAACTCTTGTCCAAATTCTAGATTTTTTCTAATATGGATAGAATTATCTTTTATCGTTTGATACATGAGAAAGAAGGATTAGCAACAAATTCTGTCAGCTGAATGAGTTTGTATTTCAAAGTCCTTGAAATTCTCGAATAGCCATTATCCAACAATATTTCCAGATAATTTTTCCCTATAAATTCGAAGATTGGCGAGCCTGGCCGCGACTCGGAACTGCGCCGTGAAACACGTATGCGGTCGTCATATCGTGTATTATATTACAGGGTGAGCCAGAAGAGTCGA